GGAAAATTTAAGGAGTTATTATTATGTACGTTTAGATGATACAACCGGTAGGATACTTTTGCACGTTACTGTATTTAACCCATCAATATAACCTTTTCGGAATTATTTAATTTTGTATGTTCTTAATTGAGAATTATTCATTAACTTCTATTTATAAACATAATTCACTACATACGAAATTAGATTGTCGAGTTGGAAGCCAAACAAGGAGACATCACATTGCCGAATAAAAATAACAAAAAATTTCAACGCGAATAGATAATTGGGCAACAATATTCGACTATTATCGTTAAATTTTAATCTCGCCTTGATAAACTAATTATTTTTTACTTTGTTAGATATAACGACGGATTATGTAAAATACCCGCATGTAAAATTGTGTTGTCGAAATAGTATGTCGAAATAGGCGCGAGTTTCCCTCGTGTGTAATTAACGTGATATTAAACACATAATATGCTTTCTTTGATCAGTTGCATAATCTTTTGCTTATATGCAAACCGGCATATCTTAATCTGTTTTGTTACTCGAAAGCTACTATAAAAAAGCAATTCAGACTATTGATCGCGCGGCAAACGTGATTGCAAAGCTACTTTAATGAGTATTTGTTTATTAATAATTATATATAAATTGGCATTACACCAAATTCATCCAGTTGTAAGAAAAATGATAGAAGAATTCAGCGAAGAAATAAATGATTAATCTAAGATCAAAGGCGTATGCCAATGTGACGATTACTTGTGCCCAATCGCGGGACTGTTGAGCGCAGGACCGTTGAGCGCAGGATTGTTGAGCGCAGGATTGTTGAACACAGGATTGTCGAGCACAGGATCGAAATAATTATCACCCGGTTCTACATTAGTTGCACCAGTACTAGTTCCGCCAAAAGGTGGACACCATCCCCTTTTACTCCTTCTAACATTTCTTTTACAATGGTAAGTTTTTCTAAGTTTCCTTTAGTAGAATAAAGTTAATGTGAGTATAAAAATACCATGGCATATAGTTAAAGTGTGTGTATTCTTTCTCATTCCGCCATGTTTAATAAACACTCACTTGTCGTTGTCGTCAGCAGCAGTTGCAAAAGCCATTGCAATTGCAAGAAACATAATAACAACCAAGAGTAAACGTAGCTTCATCATTTTTGTAGAGCGAGGTCAATGTGGTTGGATGTGTTTAAAATGGGTAAGTCGATATAGGATGGATTTGATAAAGAGTGTGTGGATGGTATTGTAAAGTACCAAACGAGACTTGGGTGACTTGACTAAGACCAAAGCTTAGTTAGAAAATTGATAAGTTTTAGACTCGTTCGCGCTGTGTTTATATATGTGTTTTTTAATCAATCCGCATGTCGATACATTTGAAACCTCGAAATAGATTACGACAGTGATCTTAATAATTGATTAAAGTTCTTGTAGTCTGTTCATGTTACCAATTACAAAGAACAAAAACAAACAAACGTTTAATAGAACACAAGAGTATAGACTTTGTTGTCGCTGCCGTGACTGCGTATATACATGCATGCCAAATAGAATTAATGCAACCCATCGAATGTAACATGCGATCTGAAACGTTATAATTGCGACTTGCACCAATCTGATGCTCAAATCTGTTGATCATCCATATTTGACTTTTACAATTACGCCATATGCGTGAAGATCTTGGTAAGATTTGGTTTATAATTAAATTGGTGATACGTGTTCCCCCCAATTTGGATGCGTTAACAACCATTGATATTATGGGATATACTAATCGTGTGTAAGTAGTCGTGGCGCTTAGAAAGAATCGGTTCCAGAATATCGACGTTCGGCCGAGAAACATTGCTTTAATGTCATTGGTTGATTGAATATCACGAATACACCCACTGTCAACGCTTGACCAATTTGTGATTAGTAAAACCAAAGACCCGAGAACGTTAATAATAACAGTCAGCAAATGAACTGAACCCATTCAGATTGCATCCCAAGCGACGAAAAAATAGATATCGCAATCTACTTGAATGATTCTGATCGCTGTTGCCATAAGCATTGTATATCCAGGTCTACGTGTTAGCAAAATGCGTTACTGCTTGTCTGGTGCACAAATTTTGCAGTGCGTATTTCAATAATAGCCAAAACAATAATTCAGTCGGCCAGATGAGTTTAATTCAGAAGCTTCAGGAAATCTTGCTCCAGCTTCTGAAACTAATCTTGACTATTACCTAAGTATAACCGTAGAATCAAGTCGACTCGCTTTCTGTGAGCTGACAACTGGTGAACCCAACTATTTAATAGCCATAGTCGGCAAATAAGATACACTATCCACTATACAACTCATTTTTACCGCCTAGTCTCCTTCGGACAACTTGCGGATGTCTATTACCTAAACGTTTAAAAATTGGTACGTACGTAAGACACGTAGGAAACTGATTTATTGATGACTGAAGCAATTTCTACCTGCGTAAATTTTCAGTCTCTATTGTTAATTGTATATAACCTTCTGTCATAACTATTACTCGGATATTTATAAAAAGCAATTTAACTAGCAACCCGTTTTGCAACTCAACTACACCTCAACCAGCCAGTTTATTTTCTTAATGACAATACAAAATTCATCCCCAGTTGAGAGCATTAATCGATTGATTAGATTCGTTCTAGGGTAGCGGGGTCGGATTGTGAGTCTGGACCTGCATCATTAGTATTTCCGACACCGTTGCCTCCAATAAGGATTGGACAAAAACCCCCCGCCTTTTTATTTTTGCCTCTGCAATTCACTGTAGTTCGTATGTCGCTGCTACAAAGTGGAGATCGAATACCAGTATTGGTCAGCCATTTGAATAACTATGCATAATTACTTATATGTCTCACCCGTTGTCCTGCCAAGCTAAAGTCTTGTATATTCTCCTCTTGTATAATAAACACTTACCCATCACCGCCATCAGGATCTAGAGGGATAGTTGTAGTTGGTATAGCAACAGCGATAGTAATTGCAAAAACCATAATGACAACCAAGATTAAACGAAGTTTGGTCATTTTGTGAGTCGTGCTAGGTAACTGTGCTGGAATATAGTATGATTTTGATACTAGATAGAATGGTATAATTCGCAAAAGTCTTTATAATGAGAGTGTGAACGGTATTTGCAAAATACCGAACGTGTCTTGGCTGCACTAGACTAAGGCCTAAGCTCAGACAAAAAATTAGTAAGTTACGGACTTTCACATCGCATGGATATATGTGTTTTTTAACCACTGTGGGGGTAAAGAGATTGATTAAAATTCTTTAGGCTGTAATATCAATTACGAAGAATAAACGTCTTTGTTTCCACCGACGTGACTGCGCAGATTTACCATGATTAGAATATTGTAACCCCATTAGAAGTAGTAACATTATGGTCATCGCGATTTGCGGATCTGCGCCAAAATGAAGATCTTAATAAGATTTGGACAAGAAAAACCGGCTTATTAAATTAATATGCATTGCGTGTAACGTAGTTGTGGCGCATAAAGAATCGATTCTGCATTGGTTGATTTAATATGATGAGTATTGTGACAAGTACTCAAACGAGAAGTTTAATGAATGATTGTCAATGAAATAATCAAAACGAGGAAATAGATATTGCAACTATAATGCAATTGATCGATATTCCTGTGATGAAGCATTACAATTAATATCATCGTGAACCAAACTAGTATTCATATGTAGCTCGAGATATCATAGTCTGCATGTCCCGTGATTTATATGCAGGGTAAAATGTTCAGATGTCACAAATGTCACAATTTTCGTGGTGGTTTTGAAATTGCAATGATATCGTATATCTAACCTTATAGTAAGGTATTAGAAAATACTTATTTATATTCAACGATGTTGAAAGTCAATTATCTGTTCATACGCGAATAGCTAACCAGTCATACTGAATATTATGTCAACAAAGATACTATTAGATAGGTTATCTAACATCGGTTTAAACTGTATGAAAATCTTGTCTGTATATAGGGTAATATTTTATGTAGCACGCGGTCTTTAAAGCTGGATTAATTGGAAAACAAGCCTGGGTCGGGTTGTATTTGACAAACATTGAAAATGCATTCGTTTTTTCTCTTAATGACTAACAATTGTATCTATTGATAGGTGATAGTACTCACTCCGCCTTTGACAGACATAAGCATAATACAAACTGTACAGTGGTTTTTCCAGAATCTAATTTAGCCGGTCAGATGAAACTCACAAAATGTTCATGATTCTGAAACCATCTCATTGTGTGAGCTGACAGACTATTGACACAAATATGGTACTCGGATAATAAATTTTTTATATTTCGTTAAGAAATTAAACATATTAGTTCTCATCCACTGTTCTCTCGAATTAAACATACAGCATACTTTATGTAGACCACGTACACATTTGCAAGACAATTTGATATCTTCTAAATTTTAATCTTTATTGATTATGTTCAACCGCAATCTGCCATCACTGTCACTCGCGTATTTACCATAGAAACAATTCAAACTAGCCAACCCAGATAGATGTTACTCAAACCATGTTTACAAAGCAACGTTTGCCATTTCATCTTTCAAACACTATTGCGCGCATGCTATCGATGGTCTCTGCATGTAGGGTAAGATTTCGTGATGATGTTTCAATTGCTTCTATGCTTTCATTGTATTTGTGTTGCTCACATGTTATCTTATCAACCGGAATAAAGAGCCAATTACTTACTCGTTAATTTTATTACAAGTTCATCCAATATTGAGAAATGATACAACATCGTATAAAAAATCGATCAGACAAGACTAAATTCATTCTACGAGGTCTTCGGACGGCGATTTACCATTATTAGTATTTCCGTAACCACCGTCAGTTCCAATGAGGATTGGACATAACTTTCTCCTTCTGTCTTTGCCTTTGCAAATTATGGTGTTTCGCGCATCACTGTTGTTTTAGTAGACAGAAATTGTAAATAAGGTTATTGAGTGCGAAGAGTGTCATGGTTGGATGTGAGTATAAAGTATGAACCAGTTATTGGTCAGCTATTTAAATAGCTTATACACGGAATCACTCACAGTCATGCCAAGTTAAATACTTACTCAGGATCACCAATAGTATACGTTGGTAGAGCAACAGCGATAGTAATTGCAAAAACCATAATGACAACCAAGATTAAACGGAGTTTGATCATTTTGTGAGTTGTACGAGGTAACTGTGTTGGGAGTAAGGATGATATCGATACTAGATGGAATGGTAGAACTCGCAAGAGTCTTTGTAATGAGAGTGTGAATGGTATTTGCAAAATACCGATACGAGACTCGACTAAGACCTGAGCTCAGTCAGAAATTGATAAGTTACGGACTCGTCTATCTGTTTGTATTGCATATATATATATATATATTGTCCAACCGATCTTGTTCAACCATATGTCGATACATTTGAAACCTCGAAATGGACGACAACTGTTGGATCTTAATAGCCGAGCAACGCACACAAAAGTTTCTCATTGTTCTTACACTACATTGAATAATCCACGAGTACAAATATTACCGCCGCTACTGCGATTGCGTATATTCACCATGGTTAAATAAACAACACTGATTCCTATGGTCCATTCGTATTGTGATCTGAAACATAAATACTATCGCAAGTTCCACAAATCTATAACTCAAATATTGCTGATTGAAAAATACCGGTATTTACTAAATTGGTAGCACAAAAGGGGTATGATGTATGAGTTATGAGAAATGTCTTGTCTAGACATTTGGCGGCGGAACGAGCAAGACTTAACTTTTTGTTGTTCGTGGGTCGCTATTTCTGGGATTGAAGAATAATAGCCTGTGAGGATGAGAAACAATTTCTACATTAAGTATCGTTCTCAAGTAATGATAAGTCAAACACGTTGTTGACAAATTGTCATATTACATCGACAACGCCAAATAAATGCCATTACGCCAGTGATACATATTTGTGTTACACGCTTCAAATCCCAATTAAGCATGTATTATATGTTTTTGGGTTATACTAAAATAATATTTACGGATCCAGTATATCAAAAGTTTATAATACGTAAATTGCAATACAAGTTAATTTTGTATCTGAAGATTCATTATCGAAATCGGGCAACAGAGTAATTCGACCGCTTTCAGAATCGATTTGCTGTATGGGTGCAGTAAAGTTGAGACTGCAATAAATGTGACGGATATCAACGTACCATTGAAGCCAATGAGGATACGAGTTTTATGCGCCGCATTTCTGCATTCTTACCATACTTATAATTAGAATATGAATCACTTATTATTACGAATCGAATAAACTGTATCGAGCAAAGTCAATACATATTTGTCACAAGAAACTAGGCCATTGGATATTTATTAGCAATAGATGACAAACTCACATATGAATCTAGGTTTAACAAAAAACGGTGTTCTACTCAATATTATACAGTCTGAAACAAGACTACCAATAGTTAAAATGTAAACATATTGATATCATGTAAGTAAGACAAGCCATAAGTTCAGCTAAACTGGAAAGCGTATAACTATTTTCTAGCGAAAACCTTACATTGGAAAAGTTATATCGTATCTTTACAAAACAAGGTCATCACTCGTCACAAACGTCGTCCGCGACAGAATGTATAGTTTCATGGCTAATGTATGGTATATGAATAATGACTCTTATATAACTGTTTGATTAACATGAGAGTCTGTTAGTTGTGATATCAGCGCTATTATTGAAGAATTCATTGATTCACTTATTATTTAAATCACCACTGACATTGACTAACGTGTCTCAGTAGGAGAGCTAAGCTAAAGTTTATTACTGATGCTAAAATACTTGGATCGATTCAAGCTGTATGCATAGATTTGCATAATATGATTGAGCAGTTCTCGAGAGTTACGCCGTCGAGTGAGATATTGTATCTAGATGCTACGCAGAGGGTCAACTGTTCTAAGATAACAATATACGAATCGAGTAATGGGTGAAAATACAACACTTCATGCAGCACATATTTGCTCACTGCTTGCCAAATAACGAATATCTCATGTCTCCCTGAAGGAATATATAATCGGAAATTTCGAGATATTAATTCAGACGCAGAATCTACTGGCAGCGAGAAGAATAATTTATCAAACCGCACGTACTTATTAATTAAGTTTAGTGGACGATCTTAATGACGCTTATTTGCTAAATTAATCCGTAAATTATTATTAGTCGGGCGTAACTTAATAATGATTTTGCAATAACTAGTTTATTAAGTAAATTTATTCCAGCCTTAGCATATAACTACCCCAAGAAAGCCAGAATCGGTTACAGTAACGTGACCATCCGTACGACATCTTCAGCCAGTTATCAGCTTTG